ACTATTCCAGCATATGTTTTACACAGCGAATGCCCTTCCAGCTGCAACCCAGTACTGGAAAACACCCATACACACTCACATTCACACACAACGTCCAATTTAGTTCATCTATTCCCCTACAGCGCATGTGTTTGGACTGTGGGGGAAACCGGAGCACCCGGAGGAAACCCACGCCAACATGGGGAGAACATGCAAACTCCATACAAACACCGACTGTGAGGCCACAGTGCTAACCTGTCGCCTGCCTCAGATTTGAATTACTGAAATATTTAATTGGCAATTATTAAAAGCCTTAATTAAAACTCCCATAATGAAGCATGATTTAATCCTACTTGAACAATAGCTGGATAATTACATGATCCTCAAAATAGCACGACTCAAACACTTATGTTAATATAGCTGATTATATATGGCTAAAGTGGACAGATCACATGCAAAGTAGCTGAATAATCATGAATATGGATAAAAAGGATTACTCGCACTGTAAAAAATAAATATTAAGGCTCAGGGGCGTCTGCAGGATTTTATTCCAAGGTACACACAAATCCAGCAACACCCCGTCCCCTTCCCAATGTCAAGAAACACTGACGCTTACTGTCAAAGGCTACATTATTTAAGGCATTCGTAATGACATAATATTTCCTGAATAATTTGATTATTTCGTTGAAATTTAAATGTAATAAAAGCACATCAGCACCAAGAAAAAAATCAGATGCTCAGGACATAGTCTTTAAACTGTTGACATTAGTGTTGGGCGATATACGAACTTTTAAGATCGCCATATCGTCGCCCTGTGAGATCATCGCCGATACACGATACTATCGCACGGGGCGCGGCAGTGTTACGTTTATGTATATATAATATTTGATTATTAAGGGTGTCACGATCCTCCAAATCCTCGATTCGATTACATTTTCGATTCTGAAGGCATGATTCGATTCGATTTTTGATTATGAATAATTAATTAATGACCAATTAATTATTTGTAGCCTACCGTTTAAACTACCTGACCTGCATGGTCTTTGTTTTACCCATAAACAAATCATACAGTAAATGAATAAAGGCAAGATACACACATAATTACCACCTGTCAATCACTTTTTCTGCGGGACTCGTGAATAGGCAGTGATCTGTGTCGTTATAATGGCGTCGGTAAAAAAAGACGCACAACCAACAGGAACCAGCCAACAGTATCTGAGGTGTTCGCTAAAATGACTCAGTACAAGTGAGTGAAAGATTGAAGCAGTCCTCTGACTGCCTGGACCTGCTGTCTCGAGCGCATGGCTGTGTGTGCGTCTGTGTCTGTGTGGTCACGTGATGTGCATTTTCAGAGGTAGAGAGGAAGGAGGGCTGCTCAGAAATGCTACACGCCACTGTGGATGTCAAATGGTTCTAAAATGCCATTTAAAAACAAAGACCGTGTAAACAGGGCCTGAGTGTGTACTTTTCGCGAGCGGATTTGCAACGGGGGTGGGCGGAGGATCACGATGCCGGTGTTGTCTATTGGACGAACCGTACGTAATACGTACATAGCAGAGCTTGTAAAACTGTGTTTTTTTGTCGACAACACGAACGTTGTCAACATAACTCACTGGAAATCCAAAATGCTTACACACCGGCGACTTCATTGAAAGAGGAGAGGGTTTAAGCTCTGTCGACGGGTCTCCTGCGTCTGCAGTTTAACAAGCACTTCAACAAGCCTGTTTTTTTCCCGCTTGGCAAGCCAAGCTGACGTGACATGGGGGCGTGGCAGCATCGACGATTCTATTTTTTGATTCGATAATCGAAATTGAGCATAAATTTCGATCGATTTCGATTAAAATCCGAAATCGTGACACCCCTATTGTTTATTATATTTAACCATATCTAAAGATATTTAATAACCTTTCGGCTGATTTTTTTTACTTATTTAATAACCTACTGCATTTGCATAGCGTTTGATCTTGGATAATAATTCTTTTTAAAACTTAAAAAGTGAACCAAAAACTAAAACTATACACCTAAATGAGAACCGTTTCCTCTTTATTCGGCTGGTAAACTCTGTAAAAGAGAGAGAGAGAGAGAGAGAGAGAGAGAGAGAGAGAGAGAGAGAGAGAGAGAGAGAGAGAGAGAGAAAGAAAATGTATACAGCTTCAGATGAGAATACCAAAAATGTGCAGCTCTTCCTCTTTTCCCATACTCCTGACCTCTCGTTTCCTTCATCTGGGCTTCGAGCGTGAACCAAATAAGAAAGTGAAGGCAAATAAAGCAAACAAGTTTAGATTTGCTCCTCTGTGTGCTATGCAAATCCATTTTATTTAAATAAGCGGATAATACAAAGACATTCAGTTCTCGGTAGCTAAAACACTAAAGCCTCCTCTAAAACAAACCTATTTACTTTAAATATAAATACATAAATACAATAAAGGGATAGTTCACACAAAAATGAACAATTACTAACTATTTACTCACCCTCAGGGGGTTTCAAATGAGTTTTTATTTGAAAGAATGCTGGAAATCGGCAACCATTGACTTCTATAGAACGAAATAAAATATTGCCAGCGTCTATACCACTTTCTAACATTCTTCAAAACATCTTCTTTTGTGTTCAACAGAAGAAAAAACACATGTGTGAAAAGAAAAGTGCAAGTACCTGACCAAAATGTTACTTTTTGAGTGAACTATCCCTATAAATAAATGTGCAAAGTTGAGTATTAATTTTAACGTATTAATTTCATTCATTAATTTTCCTTTAGCTTAGTCCCATATTTATCAGGGGTCACCACAGCGAAATGAACTGCCAACTATTCCAGCATATGTTTTTTGTAGCGAGTGCCTTCACAGCCGCACACACACACTTACTCATACACTCCAGCCAATTTAGCTCACCCAATCCTTCTATAGCAAATGTGTTTAGACAAAGGGGGAAACCGGAGCACCTGGAGGAAACCCACATCAACATGAGGAGAACATGCAAACTCCACACAGAGTGCCAACTGGTCCAGCTGGGACTCGAACTAGCTTACTTCTTGCTGTGAGGCCACAGTGCTAACCACTGAGTCATCGTGTCGCCCCACAAATTAATTTATCCTTATATACTTTCTGATGAACCAACCTTTTGAATGGCAAACCTGCAGTCTCTTAATTTCCAACCCAAATCATGTCTTATCGGCACATCTGCACAACAACTCTCAACTCCATGCCTAAGAGCAAATCTAAACTTGTTTTATTTGCCTTGACTTTCTTATTTGGCTCGCTCTCAAAGCCTAGATGAAGGAAAGGAGAGGTCAGGAGTATAAGGAATGAATAAATAAAAGAAAAAAGAAAAAGTGGCGCACATTTTTAGGACTCGTTTTGAAGCATACTAAACAGTATTTTAATTTAAATTAGCAGCTCATGCAATTATATTCAGTCCTCAGAAGCTAAAATTTACATATAAAATCCAGAAACACTTAAAATTAAAGGGATAGTTCATCTTAAAATAAACATTTACTCACGATTTACTCGCCTTCAGGTGTTTTTAAAACCAAAGTTTTTTTCTCTCTCTGCTGAACACAAATGAAAATATTTTGAAGAATGCTGTGAAACAATATCCATTAACACCCATTGTAGGAAATTAAAACAAGATTTTTCAACATTCTTCAAAATATCTTCTTTTATGTTCCACAGAAGAAAGAAGCTATAAGAGTTGTGACAAGTGGGTGAGTAAATGACTTTTTTTTTATTTCATTCATATGTTTTTTTGTTCAAAACAAGACTTTGGACTCTGAAACTGAAACAAACAATAGCCTAAATATACAAACAAGTACACCATTTGCTTTATATTGATTTCAGTATATAAGGCAAAAAAAATGTGGACTTAAATATCGGTATTAGTTATCGACTAAAATTTGTTGAAATATATCATCATTTCGGAAGATTGGCAAAATCCATTATCATGCAACCCGAAATATCCCTTTATCTAAATGAAATATCGGCAGCCGATATCGGCAATATTTAGCTGAAATATATCAGCATATGATATGCAGTACTGTGCAACCCTAGGACAATATATCCTTTTAACTAAAGTAAATATCGGGGCCATATTTAGCTAAAAATATATCAGCATATCGGATATCGGCAAAAATCCTGTATCATGCAACCCTAGTGTGAACTATCCCTTTAACTAAATTAAATATGGTATCGGACAAATTTTGTTGTAATATATCAGCATACCGGTAATATGTACTAAATCAGCATACCGGATAGACAAAAATCCAGTATTGTGAAACCATAGGACGAAATATACCGTCAACTAAATTAAATATCGGTATAAGATATCGGTCATATTTAGTTGAACTATATCAACATATAAAATATTTTTAAAAATCCAGTATCATCCCTGCCTAGGACGAAATATTCCTTTAACTAAAATTAAATATCGGTGCCATATTTAGTTGAAATATATCAGCATATCGGATTTCAGCAAAATTCCTGTATCACACAACCCTATGGTGAACTATTCCTTTAACTACATTAAACATTGGTATTAGATATCGGCCGTATTTATCGGAAATAAATCAGCATCTTTAATATCGACAAAGACCCAGTATCGTGCAACCCTAGGATGAAATATCCCTTTAACTAAATTAAATATCAGCCATAATTAATTGAAATGTATCAGCATATCTATTATCGGCAAATATCCAGTATTGTGCAACCATAGGATGCAGTATCCCTTTAACTAAATTAAATATCGGTATCAGATTTATTCATTTTCTTTCTGGCTCAGTCCTTTTATTATTCTGATGTCGCCACAGTGGAATGAACCGCCAACAGTATCAGATATCTGAAAAAACTAGATAAACTCTATTAGCATAAAGCAAAACTCCAGTGATTTATTGATTGTGATGAAGATGAACCAACACTTTTTTTAAAATGTCAAACCTGAAATCATTCATCATTCCGCCAAGATCATGTCTAATCATATTATTATTATTCTGCACAACAATTCACCATGCATTTAGCATAAGCACACTCACCTGCACCATAGTGACCACATGGCACGGGTTGAGCAGGTAGATGACGGTCTTCGTGGCGAACTTAAATCCAACCTCAACCCCAAAAGTCATGCAGAGAGCCACGAGCAACAGGTTCTTGCCCCAGCTGTCCACCTTAACGTTATTCCTCCGGCCGTCCTTCCCCACATCCCTGACCTCCTTCGGGAAGCTGAGCTTCTTGAGGGCCAGCAACACCTCCAGGACCGAGAAAAAGACGATTATCAGCGTCTCTAATAGCCTCTGTCGCGGGCTGATGAAGGCGGCGCACTCGGGCCCTCCGTTGCCCTCAAACATGGGGTCCACACCGCCGTACATCCAGTCCAGCAGGCTGTAGATATTATACCGAGACATGTTCCTCTGCTCGTATTGGAAAAGGTAGGAACAAGACGGAATGAAGGACAGGACGCCGACCTCCTGGCGGAACATGAACTTCAGATCTGCCTCGGGGGAAAGAGTGATGAACTGACCGGGGAGGAGCGCACCATCGGCCGCTTCATCAGACCTGCACACCCGCTGGAGGAAGAGACACCGGAGATACACACAGATAGGACCGTTTTAGGGAGGAAGACGCATTTCCGAAGACGACGCTTGAATGCTAACGTTAACAGAATGTTCGGTAAAATATTGCAGGTCACTAAATATAAGCTTCAAACGAGCTGCTTTGCAGGATATTCACACAGTTTTGAGGTGGAAGGCGCCTTTGCAGAGACGAAGGTTGGAATGCTACCCTATTGTTCGCTAAGAATATTCCAGGTCGTTACATAAAGGCTCCAAAAGAGGCTGGTTTTGATCGGCGGAAGGTCGTAATTACGAATTTTTCTCTCGGTAAAAAGGCAGTAGCAGAAGATGCGACGTAATCTGCTCCATGTGGCGCATGAAAAAGCTGCTTCACCATAGAAACGCCGCCCTGTTCGCTAGTCCGGGTCCCCAAATCCACCCAGACCAGAACGCGCATGCGCGCTCACTTCCTCCAGAGCCCGCACCGCTCGTTTCCCGGAAAAGAACAGGTCGCGCGCCGCGGCTCCGCCTCTCTCCAGCCGGTAACTCCTTCACCACCGGAGCTGCTATTACTCTCGCGAGGGGCCCATTTTATAAAAAGATGAACACGAATCAAAAATGGAGGTCAAACTAATAAAATGGAGAAAAATCTAATCACCCCCCAAAATAATTCACAATATGCCTTTTTCAAACCTGTATGACTTTCTATCTTCTGTTCAACACAAAAGAAGATGTTTCAAAGAATGTTGGAAACCGGTAACTATTGACTTTCATAGTAAGGAATCAATGGTTACCATTATAAGTGAAGTAAGCAGTCGCCTAAGGACCCAGGAAAGATATATTAAATAAATACTAAAGTATAAATGATGCCAATAACTTCATCTTCACCACATTTCTATGGCGAGTTAATTAAAGAAGAAAGAAAGAAATAA